GCTTGCCAAATTTCATGATTATAGACAAACATATTAAAAGTTATAGTATGAAAACTGATGGTTACTTTGCAGTTACAAGGTCAGTCACATCGACCAACCCTGTATGGGAAACAGTTAACCCTATCAACATGGGTCAGGGGTCAAAGGCCATGTCGGTGCATTTGTTATCATGCATTCAAAATATTAGTATTATACATTAGTTAATTTCTTAATTTAAAAGTAAATATTAAAAAAGAAATCCTAAATATTGATTTTTTTGTGTCATGTGGTATGTTGAATGTAAAATTAGTTCAAATTAGATGTTTTTAATGTACAAATACAAAGCCTATACTTTCTTATAAATTAGGAACTCAAATTACTAATATTGACAAACTAGAATATAAAATAAGAACCTCCTATGTTTTCTATTTGCTGCAATGTCACTACATTTACTGAATCAAACACAGTGGCCCTGCTTAACTCTTTCCATTTTTGGAAATACTTGTTTATGTACACGTAGTTCTGAGTATGAAGTGTGAATAACCAATCAAAAGCTCAGAATGTCCCCCTAGAGACTTTCTCAGCCTCTTTGAAGTATTCGGGTATCAAACTCATAACTTTTATGCTAGATTCCAAGTGGTAAGGTAATACTTTAGTGAGCTCGAAAATTCCATATTTTTTAGACCCAAATACAGCTTAGTTACTAAGTTTGATAAAATATAGTGGAATTCTATGATATTGATCTAGTAATTTATGATTTTTGGTTATTTCAAAATGTATATATAAGACCTAAAAAAAGATTATTTCATTTCACATCCTCCGTTTGCAAAATTTGATAAGGCTTAGCAATCTATAGCAAGCAGCAAATGAGAACAAAGTTCGTAACTAGAAAAGATAATTGTTTGCTATACTTCTTTATTTACTGTTCTATGTTTAAGAAAAATAATTTTAAGAACTTATTTGTAAATAGTAATAATGTATTATAACTGAAATGTGACTGTAATTTATAAAATACTAGTCCACTAAAACATACCCAAGACATGTAACTTTGTAAAGGTCAATTTTATACTCTTGGATACGGTAACATGAGTGCACGTTTGCCGCGTCATTGCAACTTCTGTAATGTTAGCTAGGTACAACTGAAAGGTCAATATAATGAAATTAATAAATATGTATAAATGTATAATGTTATGAGATTTAAGCTACTTAGACTAAATATTTGTGTTTGCATATTATAATTTGTAGTCATTCTAGAACGAAAAGAGCATAAGTTATATTTATTTCCTAATTTTTTATGGTGGTTATGAGGTCGATCAAATCATTCCAACTTGTACAGAGATACAGTAATGAAAATAACTGATAAAACAAAAAGATGTTAAAAAAAAAACATTTGATAATTATCTGGAGGTTATAAAGATTTTGCATGTGAATTTTGAAAATATTCTGATGTATAAAAGTACTTTTAATCTTAAAATCAAAATTACTTAGCATGTTGGATAGTCAACATTCCAAGAAAAAAAGGTATGAGAAAAACATCACTTAGGAAATCTTAAAATTTAAATAAAAAATGTGATGATGTGATTACTAATTTAAAAGTTATGGCAAAAAAAAAAAGGAAATAAATATAAATTATGCTTCTTTCGTTCTAGAATGACAATAGATTATAGCA